TAAATTGGCCTATTGTGATTTTTTGATTGGGTATCAGATAAATACACCAATATAATTGACACTTAAAATCATCTTTCAATTCTTCATCTGATGTTTCTTCTTCATCAGTATTGTAATTAGCAAAATTTTTTTTAATAATTAACCGAATAATGCTAGCATCAAATTTAATGCATGCAGAAAGAGATGGTTCATTATTTGAGAATGGATATTTAAATGTATAAGCAAATACAGAATTTATTGGAAATTTTGGTAATGTAGGCAGATAAATTTCCAAAATTTTCTCATTAATTGATGCGATCTCTAAAGTACCAGTTTTTATGACAATAAAGTTTGAACTTTTGTAACCAAGTTTATATGGACTTTCAATATTTTTGGATTCATTTATTTGATCAACAATTTTTGGGTTGCCAACCAACATCCAGTTAATATTCATTTTTCCAGAATCTTTTGTTCTAAAGAAAAAAGAATTAGTTTAAGAATTGGCTCTAATCAATATAAAAAAACTACTTCTTACTCTTTACTAATATTTTTAATTAGCACTGAAAACCCAAAAACATTTGCTGCTTTAAATTTTATAATCTTTTCATTGATTTGTTCCCCAAATATTGATGTGATACTTCCGTAAAGTTGATAATCATTACTTTTTAGTTTATTTTTAAACCCAACTCGATAATATATTATAGATGAATCAACTTGCACAATATCAGTCATGAGTATCTCTTGTTTCATATCAGTTAATTCCAAGTTTTGTAGATGTACACTTTTTGATAAAGGATAGTATGTTTTGAACACATTAGTTTCTTCATTTGGCCCCAAAGCTTTCAACAAGTAATAGTTATGCTCATGATCTTTAAGAATTGATTTAATTTTGCCACGAGTAGGTTCTTCAAAAATTTCATAGATTGCAATCAAATCCCCATAACTAACAGGTTGTAAATTATTATAATTAAGATGACAAGATTCAACCCAACTATCAAATTCATCTCTTATGATTATTTCACCTTTTGGAGTTAAAAGATCAATATGCATCATCATATCTTGTAAACTTCTTGAAATTTTTTTGAAACCATCAATAGTTGTCCATTTTATTCCATCTATTGCGAAATAATGTTCATGATCCATTTCAGTATAATTGAACAGCTTATGACCTAATATTACTCGTTGAGCAACGAAATTTCCAAAAATTGCAAAGACATTTTTCAACTTTAAATAAGGATTTGTTCCTTCAATAGCTTTATCTACTGCATTTTTAAATTCTTTTGATGGTCTAATCAGTTCTTTTTCACCTTCCAACCTGGCTATATTTATCCAATTAATAAAAGCTTCTGAAGATTGTTCAATATTTTCATCTCCGTCACAGAAAATAAGGTTTGGGCCCATTTTAAGAAGTGCTCTAACTTGAGTAAGTTTCTCTGTTATTGGTAGATGTTCCTTGTGTCGCCTTTCATCATCCTTGCAAATAGTGACACTTATAATTGAATTTTCATTATAAGAACGGATTATTAATTCATCAGCGTTTCCAAGAATCTCCCTCAATCCATGTTGTTTTTCTTCTGCTTCTGATATTAGACATTCGCCCTTTACGAATTTAAAGTATGATGGGATTTTTTCTTGATTTTCTTGATTTTCTT